TCTTTGAGTGTTGCGTTCATTATCCAAGCAGCCTGTGGGACGTAAGCCACAGACCCGCCAAAGATAACCTATAAATTGAATTAAATAAGCGCATATAGTCAGTCATTTCACCAATCGCAGCCCACCTCCCCAGAGACGCGTCTCATCTCGCCGACAAGTCCCTGCAAAACAGAACTCTTTCCCGACCCCACACGTCCAACGATCGCAACAAACGCGCCGCGGGGAACATCAAGCTGAAGGTCACGCAACTCGAAAGGCTTTTCTTCGCTCTCCTTTCCTCCTTTGCTGGTAGACGTTTCGCCCTCGTTGGTCGGGAGCAAAGGCTTTTCTTTCTTCTTGTCCTTTTTGCTCTTTCCTTTATCGCTCTGCTCTTTGTCGCCTTCCACGCTAAATTTTCCGCCCGGTGAGGTATCACTTGTACTGCTGACTGACTCCCAAGCGAACGTCGCATTTGCCTTCACAGCCCATTTCATATCATCATCAATTGCATACGGCTCCTCGAGCTCTTCAGCGTTTAGAAACGTCCCGATGCGCCGTAGGGCAACAAGAGCGTCTGAACAAAGGTTGATGACGGCAGGGAAGAAGATGAGAGGAGTCCGGATGACCTGTTCGGAGAGCAACGATCGTAAGTTGATTTCGGGTATAAAAACTAGGGACGTACGTTGAAATATTGTAAGGAACTAAAGATAATGGCGGGATTGAGATCATGGCCAATCAATGCATAAGTGATCTACGAATATATTATCAGTCAAGGTACCAAATTTTAGTGCTGCCAGTGTTGGATACTTACGAAAGACAAGATAGAAGCAAGGATCGGTATCACGGTGACGAAGGAGATCAGAGCTGCACGCGCAATCCTTTACGTGCGAATCAGAGTGTCAGTATCACCATGTTTGAACATATCTCGTGGAGAGTACAACATTCGACATACGCGGTCTTCTTGATCTGCTTCACTTCCCCTCCTCTCAACTTCCCAATGCTCTCCGCATAGAATTGCTCCCATGCGAAAAACTTGATGAGTCGAATTCCCTATGGGTTCCAAGAGTTAATATGAGGGAGTTAGTACACTGATCTATTGAAGAAACAGATCAGATGGACTTACCTGGAGGACTTCCGTCGTCAATCTAACCCTACGATCTGTAAAGCCTACACAAGCCACTCGAGCTTGGAACATTACGCGTACAAGCAAAAATTGGATCGGGAATCCGAGCAAGAGTACGCCGAGGCCAACTAGGGCGGAGACGCCGAGCTACAAGCAATACAATATTACGTTGACAAATCCGAAGGGAAGAGAACGAATAAAAGTATCCTCGTACATTATGTATGAGCAGCCCGATGCCGATGGCAATTTGTATAGGTGCAACCCATAAACTGTAATGGACGATAAGCACAGACGAAAATGAAATACTTTGAGCCCTACTTATGCACAAACTGAGAGCTGAAGTCGAGTCTCGTTGCATCTACACCACAATGAGAATCGAGATCGTCTTAAATAGAATGACATACCAGAACTAATCATTGTAGTCACTTGTCCGACTCCATGGGACATGCGCGCTTTTCCTGACAGACGAAGAGATTTACGGAAGATAGCGCCAATGACCTGCACAAAGTTCGATTACATTATAGTCACTCGACGTGGTGAATGAACTTGCCCCTGTCCGAACACATAACCCATTTGTCATTGTCGCTACCGATTTTATGAGAAGCTATATCAGCTCAAAATCGATAGTCACTCACTCATCATAAAATGATTCGTCAACTAAGGATAGTCAAAATTTCCAGTATTCGCGAGAAAGCTCATTCATCAGAAACGTACCAAACTCGAAACCTCTGTAAGTCACAGATAAATGCGTTTATTTCAGAAAGCAACATAGAAAGTATGCACTTACCCTGCATGGCAAAGAGGGCAAAGCCTAGACCAATACCGTAACCCAGACCTCGCGGCTTTGTCACTGTTTCGTCTGTATTAGGCAGCTGCGAGCCTGACGTAGAGAATTGGTGAAAGTTGAATGATTCTGTGAGCCATGTGAGTAGTAAACGCGTAACGAGAGGCGTTGTAGTCTTTAAAGTATCTAAAACCGAAGGTCAACGCCTGCTTGAATGAATATCAGGATACTTACCAGCGAGAAGCAGCATCAAACCCGCTCCCCACCAGCGCCAAAAGAATGCGGAATGAATCGCCTGCAAGAGGGACGAGTCGTATTTCTTCGTTCTCCTGTTTTTCCTCCCTCGTTTGCCCTCATAGAGCTCCCCGGCCTTCTCTTCGACGTTGGTCTGTGCTTCGGTGTCCTTCTCGCCCTGAGGATCACTGCCTCTACCTGCAGAAGGGGCGGCATTCTCTTCGACACCGAATGAGAAGCCTCTGGGGCGCTTCTCTGGCGGGACTCGCGAGTAAAACGCGCGTTCGATGCGGTCCGTGAGGTTGTGAGCGTGCCGACGCGTCGGGAGGGTGTATAAATCTATTCGAGCACGACAACATCAATATTTTATTAAGGGTTGCACGGAGATGTAGTATAAGCCTACCTTCTTTCTCGAGTGGTCGGGAGAATCCGACAGACAGGATGGGTGTCAGCCAGTTGAAAACCAACTTACTCAATAGCCTAAAATTTGAAAATTCATTTTTGAAGGAATGAACGGCACGAGAAGTGAGCTCAAAGAATACTGACGACGCGTCATCTTGAGGCAAGACTTTGCCCTCGCCAAAGGAAGGAGGCGCTGGAGGTGGGTGTAACGGGTTGTACATTAGGCTGAAATTTCTCGAAGATTTACGAGCGCGGTAAGGGAAAAAATCATGCAAAACGTAGGTGGCGGGTGGTCCAGAGGAAGCAAGTTGTTCAAAGGCAACAGCTATCGCAGTTTTATAAGGCGTCCGCAGTGCGAGGCATGGGGCGAGAAAGATGGTGGAAAGAGCGTGTCGACGGCAGGAAGATTGCTGCAAGAAGGACTGGAGTCATCGCGGCAGACGGGGCCGCCCGCGAACTGCCTGCGCCGAGCTTGCGTGATCGGACTGACACGCAACGACCGATAATTTTAGTTTCCGTGGAACCTACTGACACCTATAAATACGGAGAACGCGTTAGCGGCGCATTTCATAGCCCGAAAACAAAAGATGAGACGAACATATTTGTGGAGATACCCCACGTGAAGACAAAAGATGCTCCTAAGAGAGCAATCACTTCAAAAAATGAACTAAAAAATGAACGGCTTACTATCTTTCGTGATACTCGGGCGCATGCTACTGCCTGCTCCATTAACAAATGTTGAAGATTAGTACGAAAAATTTGGATGACGACAATGAGATCGTTAGCCATTCAATCGATTCTCGAGATGCTCTACCAAGAAGTGCGTATTCGACTGATTTGACGCCTTTACGCGCGGCACACCAAGCGATTTGTACCGACGTGATTTCTTGAAAAAAGCAAGAATTTGGATCACTATGGTTTAGAAGAAATGCCTACCTTGACGAAGTCCCCGTTTCACTGCGCTCTTGTTCGCTGTAGATTGAAGCAAGATGAATCAAATTACCAAGATCATTGAACTCGTACGGTAAAGACTGCGAAACAAAAGCAAGAAAAGTCAGAGAGAAAACATCAGAAATAAAAGGTGAAGAATCAGTCCGTGAGATCAATGACTCCGTTGTCATCCACGATAAAAGTCGCAAGAGGTTCGGTTTTGATTTCTTGTTTGACGCGCCCGTCCCCGTTCTTCAGCAATTCGATTTCTGCCTGAAGTTCCTGCAATTGTTTCTGATAAGATGTCGGGGAGAATGGTTAATACAGTGTCCACTAAAGATAAACGAGGAAAGAAATCATCACCTCCTTCTTGATAAGAGCGTCTCGCCTTCTGGCATCTTCAATCTCCTCGTTTTCTTTATCAGCCTTCTCGGAGCGTTTGCGCTTCTTTGTCTTAGGTCCTGGCGAATTCGATTTGGAAGGTGTTTTCTCCTGACTCTCTGTTTCATCTTCGAGACCAGGGGCAATTCCTTGTGATATAAGAAAATCTACCAATCACCGGTTCAGATATTCCGACCTGCTTAAGATGCGTGGCATTGACTGACCTTTTGGTCTGTACTTGAAAACAAAGCATGCGTGTGGATTACTCTCCAGGAGACGTGTTTTGTAAATGATGCCTGTCCTTTTTTGTTTCGTTTCCGTAAGCCTAAATATTCACAAAGATTCACTTCAACAAATAGCGGAAATAACAATGCGAAGTCTTACTTACGACACGCGATGCATAGCTAGCTTTTTGGACCGTTCGTGAATTGTCGTTATATTCGAAGTTGAAGGGATTAAGGGCGACTGATTGGGATCCTTTGTGAACTCCGCGCGGGAGATGCGTATCTCAATCGTTCCAAGGTTCGAGAGGTCCAAATCAGGGGATGCAATGGAATCGTCGTCTGAAAGTCGTTGAATTATCACATGAGCAAAGCAATCACCTCTTCAAGATAGTATATACCAACCTGTCAGAGAGACTTGCGAGAATGTGAACATTTGAAAAGTGTTTTCATCAGATGGATATCCTCGCGATGTTTGGTTTAGGGGGCCGGAAGATGCATGGTAGACACAGCCCTTCATCCATTTGCCATCGATATAAATATGCCATGCAAGCGACACGTCAGACATTGCACCAGTCAATCGCACGGAGAAGTTCTGCGATTCGTATGAATATGAGGATAGAAACCTTGTATTCAAAGACACTACCTTTCCTGCCTCGCTAGCTATCCAACAGCTAAGAACCGCATCTTTCCCTTCCACTTCATATTCTTCAAGGGCATTGCCGTCGACTATTATGCTGGCGCTATAAGCGTCATTGGAAGGCATTGTTGGAAAAAGTTCTTCTGGATGCTCGTGTGGTGAGACAAAGGCGCAAGATCCCAAAAAAAGACAACGAGAAGTGTGACATGGTGATCACATGATGCGTGACGTTTCGCGAAATCACCGTCAAACATCAATATGACTTACAATTGCGTATATATACTTTACTTTGTAAATTCTAACAAGTCGGATATGGTGTAGTGGCTAACATTATCGCCTCTCATTTCGGATCTGGGGAATCGAACCCCGGATTTCAATTCAGACTGCGCGATAGCCCGGGGTTCGATTCCCCGTATCCGAATCTTTTTGACTTTTCTCAAATGAAATGACCTTTTTAGTACAAATTTCGGGGTTCGATTCCTTGTATCCGAATGTTTTGGATCGAGGTTTAGTCCGGGGTTCGATTCCCCGTATCCGAAAATTTCGATTTTTTTGCGATGAAACTTAGCGCTCGGGGTTCGCGAATAGTTTTGCTTTTTTAACTCTTATGACAGGACTTTCTGTGTTCTGTTAATTTTAACGATTTTTCTGAGCTTTTTCGTTGTGGGAGACGATTGTATTTCAGTCTCAACTATGGTCGGATTGGAATTCGACGCGTCAGACGAGGTGGTCTGAATACGAACGTCTTCCGCCTTCCCATTTAGTAAACGTACTTTTTGTGTACATGCATAGGATCAAATCTACTGGCAGAACGATGAACTGTGTCTCCTGGGTTTGTCATTAAAGCTGACGGCGTCCAGGCATAAGTCATAGGTGTCCAGCAATCCGTCCAGAGTTCTCAAACAACATGAATTACAACAAATACTTATTAAATACAACGGGATAGCACACAGAAAACACAAGGCATTAGAAACCGCTCGCTGTCACTCTCAGTTGCTCCAGCTTCTTCAATACTTCTCCGACAGTGCGGTCGAGCTCCCCTGCAATGCTCGATTGCTTGGGCCCGGGTAGCCGCGCGAACATCTCGCAGAGGTCGCCGTCCACCGTCGCTTTTACGGGGACGTAGTATCCCCTCCACGCTAGATGATCCCGACCGACGAGACTCAAACGCTCGGTGCGCATGTGCTGCTCTAACGTTGAGATGAAATCAACGTCTTCCTTGGAGACAAAGGGGACGAGGATGCCTATCGTGCCATGAAGACACGTGTACAAAAGTACTTCTCTCCCGCCTGCCACCAACGAGATCTTGTGCAGCCCAGTAACAATATCGCCGACGTGATAGTGCGCGAGGAGTTTTGTCTTGTGCGGCGAACCCATGAGGATGCTCTTCTCGTGCAGAATCCCGGCACCAGTTGGGTCCTCGTCTACCTGGTCCGAAACCTTCGAGTCCAACCTGTTCACGAAGATGTTTCCGAACTTGTCACCGGCAGCAACGGTGACGTAGTCTACCATTACAGTCGCAGTGGTCCATCTCGGTTGCGAGTCGTCCGCGAAGATAAGAAGTCGATTTTCTGGGGCCTTGTAGACGGCATAAACGACTGACTCTTGCATGTCGCCAACAATAATTCGAGATCCTTGGGTGTTCAAGGTGACAATGGCGGATCCGAATGTCTGTGAACACGTCAGCGGAGGAAATACAGGAAAGCCGATCCACTCACGTTGTTTTCAACTTTTCGCAGAAGTTTCTTTTTCCCGATCTCGTATATCCTCAGCGCCTTGCCCACACCCGCAGCTAGACGGCCTTGGAACGCAATCATCGCTGTAGGTACGTCGTCTACCTCCGTCTGCATTTAAATCTCAGCATTAGTTCCCTACGAATTAGAACGAGACCGCACCTTATGAACAAGTTCGAGCTCCGTCCCATTCTCCTTAAATGAATACGTCCTGATGTATCCACTAGAACATGACCTCGGAGCTAACAAAGTGGACGCGGCAGTGCCGACACAGAGGAATTGCTCACTTCCCCTCGCCGAAAACGATACGACAGCGAGGGAGAATGCGGCTTCGTTGTTATCGAGTTCGATGACCTTCACGGTTTTGTTTTCGATAGGGTCGATGATTCGGATACATGACGCCCATGTACCAGCTGCTGCCTTGGGTCTACCGAACTCCTCGGGTGCCAGCTCGAGCATGTCCTGGTCAATCGCCTTGCCCTTCCCGGTCTGTCGGCAATTACTACATATTTCTGCGGATCAATTTTCAAACTTACTAATTCTGAGATTTTAGCCTTCGCAGCGTCTTCACCCATAACACGATGGTCCGCTTCGATCATGTAGAAGTAGTGATTGGAGGGGTGAGTAACAAACTTTCGAGGCGTGTATGACAATGGCATTGACGTCTGCATTAATTTTGTTCCGAGGCGAGGTACTTCAAAGATCCTGCAAACAATCAGCAAACCGCGAAAATTATTCCGGCCATTGACTCACTTTAGCAGGTTTCCGGTAATACCTATCAAGCCTTCGGGACACTGCTCTGCCGCGAGACCGCACGCGTGGTTCCAAGGCTCGGATATCAGAGGGCTAAAGTGAAGCAAGCCTTGGTGGGTATAGTTGAGCCACGACCGCGACGAGAGGGCAAGGATTGACGGGTTCCCCTGAACCATCATCCGTATGAGTTTCACAGGACGAGTACCCAAAAATCTATCGGTGAGCCTGTCAGAAAAACTGACAATCCAAGTCCAATGACTAACATACCGAGTTCGTGTGTCCGTTAGCTGACCGCTAATTGGATCCAATACTGTGCGCAAGAGAACACCATTTTGCAGGCCGATGTTGACGAACATCGTAGGCTGACTCTTGTCGATACTTGTGTCGAGCATTTCGGCGATACATATTGAGGATGGAGGCGCCGTAAGAGCTTGCAAGCTGATGATTTCCAGAGTGTTGTCAGGATCGAGGGAAACGATACGCACTGTTTGGTCTTCACAACCAACAGCCTGCACATGAGAATAGTCAAGCTACAATCATTCGAAAGAATGAAAGGGAACGTACAAGGTACGGTGTCCTTTGCCTTCCGGGAGCGACTTCTCCGATACTCAACGCAAGAACGGTGCTTCCAAGAGCTTTCCGATCCTGATATTCGTTCAGCTGGCCCTCCAGATCGAGTTCGAAATATACGAGCTCTGCTGAGCTCAACGCAACGACGACCTGGCGTTTATTCGTTGTCGCTCGAACAATCGTTCGGCCTTGCGGCACCTTCCACTCGTTCACCCGTTTGTCTGCGAGAATATGACGGATACCTCGGGGATGCACCTGTAAGAGCGCGTCATCGCCGATCTGCTGCACTGCCAATGTTGGCTCTTGAGAGAGAAAGCCGGTTTCCTGTACTTCTTCGATATCTTCGCTAATTTGGAGGACGAGAGTGCCGTTCACGAATGAAAGTACGATGTATCTGTGGAATGGGTCTGAAGGGAAAGCAGTCAGCTCCAGTACTCGTCGAAGCGCAGGGATAACACCGCACCATCTTCTTTAACTTTAGTAGTCCAAACTGCGTTGGGAATACCGGGTAATGGAGAAGGAGCGGAGAGCTGCTCGATCTCCAGACCGTGTCGTAATGTCCTAAATGTACTCTTGGCCCCTCTTCCGCACGCAGCAAATATTTGCGGAGTATCGGATTCAGGAAGCACATTGAGGACTTTTGAGTCAATAATCGGGTCGAGTGAGCTTAGCTGATCAGCAAGGGCTAAGTTGTCCAAAGGTCGAGGGCGGAAGTATACAGAAGGTAACGGTGATGATGGGTCTCGCATGCCAAAAGAGTCATAATCTGTTGAACTCCATTCCGGCTCGTTGTCGTCGTCTCCGAGTTTCTGAAACTGGTAAAAGTGGCTAGCTCGAGTCAGGTCTTTGTTGCAAAGAAAACAGGAGAAGGAGGACGCACTGGTTTCCGAACTCGGACGCGACGAACAAGAAACCTGATTTCAGAATGCATAAGCTTGAAGCAACAGGTACGGTGTCAAAATATTTGATCTTCAAAGCCTTGACTTCTTCATCTTCGTGCTCAATCGTTGCCTTGTACAAATCACCTTCCTCGCTTTGGAGGAGGAAAAAGAAAGCGCCCTGAAATAAGGACTCGTAAACATTAAATGCGAAGAAGTTGGCGACTTCATACCTTCATTTTGTGCATAACAGCGGCGACAATGATAAGTCCGCGATCCTTTTCCTCCAAAGGATGTCGCCTCCTGGGAATAGGGACTCGATGTTGAGGTGCATCCATGTGTCGATAGATGACATGGTCTTCGCAGCAAACAAGGACTCCAGAAGGGCCTTCGAATCGAGTGGAGTTAGCGAGTTGACCGCCAGGAACTTGGACGAGGAGGTTGGCACGGGGATCTGTCGGTTCGCTCCATTTTCTGACGACGTGATTCAAGCCGAGGTCTAGCTCGTAGAACGTGAGCATCTGTTCAACGTTCCTATCAAATGGTCTCAAGCACCAAAAGGTATACGACGCACCTTCTCAGTATTATGAAAAGCCTCCCCAGTTGGGTCCTGATCCGCCTCCGTGTAATCAACCTCCAACGCGGCGTACATAGGATTCTCGAAACCGACATCAACACCGACGATGTGATGAATAATGGCGTTGTTCTTGTGAGCTTCCAGCGGAGACGAGATTGTCAGGTTCGCAGCAGCATCCCTATTCAGAATATAGACCAGCTTCGCCTTCTCCATGGCTGAAATCATGACACTGCGCCCCTTTGGATCTGTTGCGAGATACTGTCCCGGAACGATACGACGAGCGCCCGACTTCCCAAACGTCTCCAGGTGAACCTTTACGAAGCTGCTTGTTTTCGAATCATATTCGAGAATGACGATTCTTCCAGAGTCTGAGCCAACGATGGCGTAGTCTGTATGATACGTGCGACACAGTCCCTTCAGCAACAAGACGACACTGGAATACGCATTGGAAGCGCACCTTTCGTTCCACCCGTCAATCTGAAGGCAGCCAAAGAACGTATCGAGCCAAATACATCGTTGGCAAGCACTGTAGAGATCTTACCCGTTTGCGTGTCTGGCCGAAGGAGTTCCAAACGAGTGCCTCGAGAAACGATTATTTCTTGTTGACGAGTGCCAGAGAAGTTCCCGACGATGGCATGGCAAATTGCAGTCGGAGACTGTAAAGTGAGGTTGTAGAGATGCATGGCGACCCCCTTTCAACGCAAACAGCTCCTCTTCACGTTGAGCAGCCCAGAGTTGACGACGACGACGAGTGAACGACGCAGTGAGTCGATGACCACGCAACGCCCGACCAACGTCTGCAACATTTTCGATCCTCCAGAAAAGGTTCCCACGCTTACTCATATGTTTGCATTGAGCACGAAAAAACGGGAGAAATATATCGAACGTATACGTCCCCGGCTTTCTCTCA